TCTCTCACTCTCTTTATCTGCTGCGCCTCTCTCTCTCACTCTCTTTACCTGCTGCGCCTCTCTCTCTCACTCTCTTTACCTGCTGCGCCTCTCTCACTCTCTTTACCTGCTGCGCCTCTCTCTCTCTCTCTCTCTCTCGCGGTCACGCCTAAAACTTCCCCCTCTTCCTAAACAACCAAATGTCATGTTGCCATATCATTTTTGATTGGTCGACATGGGGCATTTTTCCACCAACACGAACGGGCTGTTTTTTGTTTTGGTTTTTTGGGGTCATAAGCAGAGAGTGCTTGCTAGCGCTGACCTTAGACAGTAAACATGACAACACAATTTAAAAACTGATATATATCACCTTGTTGCTTTCTCATCTTGAAGTGATCATGTGATTGGCTTACCACAACTACTTTATTCTTCCTCAGTCAAACAGCAGCACTCATGCGATTGTCTTACCCCCTAGCTACAGGTGTTGTGCCAGAAAGTGATTGTGGCCCTCGGCAGCCCGCAGAGCTGCTTAAAGCTGTAGAGCCCAGCTTATTTACAGCTACTTCCTTACAACTGATATAAGATGAGATAAGCTGAACACAGCTTCAGCCGTCTGTTTGTTGAAAAATAGTAACGCGACCGCACCGTATTTTCTTGTTAGTAACGGCATTGTAACAATAGAAATAGTAATTAGTTAGATTACTCGTTACTGGGAAAAGCAACACCGTTACTTGTAACGCTGTTATTCCTATCACTGGTTGATACATAGTTTTGATGCCTTCAGTGAGAATCTACAACGTAACTAGTCATGTAAATAAATAAAAAAAACATTAAATGAGAAGGTGTGTCCAAACTTTTGACTGCTAGTGTATCAGGGGCTGCGGAGTCGAACAGAGGTAAACACACCCTCAATATACACAAGCAGGAAAACGAGAGGATGGGGAACAGGTGAGAACACAACTGGGACGTGACGAGGCGGGGAGGAGAGCAAAACTCAGTGACATAAGACACAGACTGTTATTAGTAAAAAAGGAAATACAAGAGAGACATGGAGACACAGATTCGACACTTAGACATGGAAACATGAGACGAGGCGAGGTGAGGCACAGGAACAGAACAGAAATCAGGAGGGCTAAATATAATACAACAGAAAACAATAATTCAATGAATAAAACTTAAAAACACTGGGTCACAGACCCAGGACAGTGACAATGGCATAGATGCCACATGACACCTTATCTGTGAGAGGCTTTGAAAACTTAGCATAGTATTTATGCGATGTTGACTGTTTTTGTGTTTTTGATTATTTTTACCTGTTTTTGCATATCCGCAGCACTGAACCAAACACACATCTCTGTCGGTCATCATGCTACAATCCAAAAGAGCACCACTACTGTGAAAGAAACCAAAAGCCTCTCTGGTTCTGTACCTCAGGTATCACTGTCTGTTTGTTTTGGTTTTGCAGCTGTCATGTCAGTTACTATCACATAAAAATTACATAACCCTGTGGTTCTAACTTTGCAGCTTTTGGAAGAGAAAGTGGAACTGGATCACAGCCCAAACTCCAACAAAGCAGTTAGAACTTAGTGAGCAGTTTATTTTGCTCTACTGGTGTAAAAACAAAGAGTTGTTTTCAGCATAAATTTCTCCTACAGAGCACATTGTGCCTTTGGTTCTTGTGATGTTAGCTCACTGTGGAAAACTCTTCAAGTAATAAAGTGTGAAGACATAAAACACGCCCCTAGTAATATCATTTTATATACTGTAATACTAAACTAACTCTTTCTAAAACTGAGAATAATGCCTTGGGAGTTTATCAAATGATGAAACAAAGAAATACTATCTTGTCTTCTATTTGTATTTGTAAAATCCTATATGCTCATTTTTAGTTAAATGTGTGCATTAAAGAGGGTTCATGCAAGATATGGAACCTATGCAGACTCAAACCCAACTTAACTTTTCATAAGACTTTATTTGCACAGCAGAAGAAGAGTGAGGTAAACATGAATATACACCAGCTGAGAACAGACTATCATGGAGAGCCACTGGCAGAGAATAATTAATCACAGAGAGTCACTAATGGTGAATCACCCCGGAAACCCACCAACACCGGCTGGAAAATCCCAGACACTGCCATGGAACATGACAGTTTTATATTTGGAAAAACATCATGTGAAACTATAGTCGCATGGGAACACCCTGACTCATGATTCTCTGACTCACTGATTCTCAAACATTTCCCATGATCTGAGTAAATGTTATTTTCTTTCCTTTCTCAGATCCTTTTTTTTCCCTGTTATGTCTTTCCAGATGTAACGGAGTTCAGCATTTATGAGAAGTTTCTAACTCCTGTCCTCTTTCCACCCTTCCAACCCTCACACCTCTATGTTTAGGTCAAATCAAGGCAATCCACACATACAGGTCTGCTGTGATGGATGTATGTCTGCGTGGAAGCCTTGGATGGATCCGGTAATAATCAAATTGTTTTTCCTTGTCTTGTTTGTTTTGTTGTTTTGTCTCTGGGCCTCATTTTTATTTATAATAGAAAGTTGTGTCTTAGGAGAATTTTGGAAGAATTTTTAATAAGATTGTTAATGGGTAAAATGATAGGCAACATATTTCATTATTAAATGAAATGTAGAGCTGACAGCAGTGGAAAAGAGAGATTCTAGGAAAAAATACTGCTTTACTGACCCTTTGATGAGAGAGCTCACAGCTCCCCGCTCCTTTTATACAATAACTGAGGGTGTTTTTTGATCTGTCTAAAGGTCATCAAACGGCCTCAGTATTCGCTACTAATGCAAAAGGGCCAAAAGTGTTAGTCTGCATTTCTGAACAATTTACTGTATTATCTCTGATTCTTCAAGTGCTGTGGAGAGACGCCGTACGGCTCGGGACAACGTGGAGTTCTCTGTTGTAATAACACCTTGTACGAGGACAGAGACGATGGAGAGGAATGTTCAGAGATGGGTATTCCTTACAACCCGGCCAAAGGGACTATATGTTGTTCTCAGTTTCACGGCAGCCCGGGACAACACTGCTGTGGGACAGAAATTTACCGGCCTGATGTTGAGGTTTGCTGCAATGGACACAGGTCATTTTGTGTGTGTGTGTGTGTGTGTGTTGCTGATAAAATCTAGTGAAAAGGGATGGGGTTTTTTCCATTCCTTATTCATTAGCTTGGTTCAATCAGTGTTTGATTTTAGGTCAGTGGGGAGTTAATTTTTATGCATCTTGTGCTGGTTGAGGGGAAACCCAGAGGGAAATGCAAAGGAAATGTCTTGCATTCCAGTAGAAGGTCTTTTCTTTATAGAAATTCCAGCTGTGCATAACACTGTCCCACCTTTGTTTACTTTCAGGCACCGTTGTGCTCTGGTCTAATGTGATAAAGGGAAATTGGAAGTCATGCAAAGAATTGACTAGCAGGTAAACACCCAGAAAACCAGAGAGATCTTGTAATTATAGATTGTCATTATTTAACTTATGCATAAGCTTTATTTGATATTAATTGCTCCCTCTGTTTTCCAACCAGACATCCCAAATCAGAAAACATTCACTGCTGTGGGGTCAAACCCTACAACATTAAAGACCCAAAGGTGAAGTGTTGTGCAGTAACACTGTACAATCTGACTTCATTACATAAGCATGGAGGGGATGTGCAATGCTGCGGATCCACTCTGCAAGACCCACAGGTAGTTTATCAGTAATGATGTATATAATATAATTATCATGTTATCATCCTATTCATGCCATGAGAAGTTATTTGAGATAAACTATATGAATTTCAGGGGCAGGACGACACGTCAAACGCTCCACTTCAGGTTATATCTCTATAAATGGCTCACATGCTTGTTTGTTCTCTGTGGTGGGGCGTGGTCTGCGGTGCCGTGCGGACGCACCTGTACGGCATCCGCAATCACGCCCGCCGTGTTAAAACACGGGGACTCAGGGGTTGGTGTGGTGTGTGGTGAGATGTAACTCAATAAAATGGCTCTGAACGATACTCCGTGGTCCCGCCGTGCCTTATTCTCGCCACATTCTCATTTCCATGCCCCACCATCCATCCCTCTTTCTCAGTTTTTCACACCCTCTCATCATTATCAGGGGATTTGTAAGGTTCAGGAGCCACTGAGAATCTGTCACTGAGCCGTTCTCATTACTGCAGTCTCAGGCAATAATCTTTGCTTTCTCCATCTGTTTTCCATATCATATTTGAGATTGCAGTCCCAACTAATGAATGAAATTATAGAGCTGCAAGGTGAAAGTAGCATTACAGGCCACCCTAGTTTCAGAAATTATGGTCACATTAATTTTGACACTGTTTCTTTTCTTTTTTTCTTCCTCCAAAAGCATTTTGAATTTCCTTTCTAACTTGTGACACCTCTCAATAACCAGTTGAGCATTAAATCTAGAATATATGCCTACTCTACAGTGAAGGAAAACAACACCTTGTAATGCATTGGCTCCCAAGGCTGCTTTCATGGACACAGCTTGTCCGGCTGTCACACAAATAGTTGATAAATGCATCCAGGAGAAGATTACTGTACTTTATAAAAGTCAGTCCAAAGAATCCTTTACAGATCATTTCAAAAAAGAGGAGGATCTCCAGTCTGAACCTAAACACAACAATTTATAATTTAATATAACCAAACCATCATTATTAGGCTTTGCAAGCCAAACTATGCAGTTGCTGCCAAGGCCCCAGTAAGACCAATACTAAAACATTTTTATATTTAGTTTATATCTGACAGTCAGAATACCTTCAGCATAAGGAATATTACACCTGTCTTTAGAAACTTAACATCTCTTGTCACTACCAGGACATTTGCTGCTCAAGTGAGGAGGAAGAGGTGATCTTCTCTGCTAAGACAGGGTTTAGATGCTGTGGTCACCTCTATTACAAGACCACCTTGTGGTCATGCTGTGCTGGGAGGCTGAGATCAATCCATGAACCAGGACAGGGTCAAAGAAAGATGATTAATGGTTTGTTTTGTCTGCTTAGATGTCCTTTCCGTGCAGTAGAACTTCATTTGACGTCATTTTAATTTGATGGCAAAGCCCAGATCCTGCATTTTACCAATAACATGTATAATGTTGTTTTCAGAATCCAGAGTCCTATCTGTGAATAATCTGAACAAAACAGATCTTTGCCAAAAAAGTAAGTCTTTTTTTAACATAAAAAATGCTGATGTTTTGGTTTGTAATGCCATGGCTTTATGTATCTTTGCTTAGTGCACATTGGGACTGTGAAAAGTGTGTAAATAAATAAATAAATAAATTTTTATTTATATAGCACCTTTCAAGACAGAATCACAAAGTGCTGCACATAAGATTACAAGTCATAAAAAGATTTAAAAAGAGAAAATAAAACAGGCAAAAAATTAACCAAAAGCAGTTTTTAAAAGGTAAGTTTTGAGCTGTTTTTTTAAAAAACAGCTACTGAGTCCGCAGTTCTTAATGCTTGGGGGAGAGAGTTCCACAGTCTCGGGGCCACAGTGGCAAATGCTCTGTCACCCTTAGTCCTCCTCTTAGTATTTTTTATAGCAAGTAAGCCCTGATCAGATTACCTCAAATACCTGCTAGGGACATAGGGGTGTAGCAGATCAAAGATGTAGGCAGGTGCCAGTCCGCGCACAGCTCTGTAGGTCAAGACCAGGATCTTAAAATCGACTCTAAATTTAACAGGAAGCCAGTGTAACTGAGATAACAATGGTGTCACATGTGAGTGCTTGGAGGATTTTGTCAAAAGCCTAGCTGCAGCGTTTTGCACAACCTGCAGACGATCCAGAGAACCTTTGCTTAGACACATAAACAGCAAATTACAGTAATCCAAGCGTGACGAAATAAATGCATGTATAGCAATCTCAAGTTTAGAGCGAGATCAAACCAGGCTTAGCCTAGCCACATTTCTTAAATGATAAAAACAAGACCGAACCAGAGATTTCACATGCCCATCCAATGTGAGACTCGAGTCAAAGGTGACACCTAAATTCCTGATAGAGGATTTAACATAAAGTGAGAGAGGACCAAGGGCTTTCACTATCTGCGATAGAAACCTATCAGGGGCGCATACGAGGACTTCGGTTTTCCCCTCGTTGAGTTGAGTCTCAGCAGAGCGTTGTGTTTGGGAATGTGCTGACGGTTCATGGTATGGAGACCGAAGCTCTGCCTTTTCCTTACATCCTGGAAACAGATGATCGCTGCAGCTTCCCTAAACTGATTCTTGGGAAGACCTACTTCTTTAACAAAGTTAATGTTTTCACTGATTTCAATCATGACTCTGTTCTTCAGTCACTCCATTTCGTTCTTTCCAAATGTTCACCTTAGGTCACCATTGGCTGATTTATACATGGGCAGTCCTGATGAGTTACTCTAGTCTCTGGCAAAGTACTAATTTTGTATTTTTATTTTGTGCTTGCAATATTGGGTTTTTCACTCTCTTGAATGTATTACACATTACTGCATTGTTATACATTGGTCTGTTAGCAATAGTGATGCTATCCTAAAAAGAAAGTCATATACCTAATCTGTCCTTTGTTTTTTTTTGTGTATTATTAGAGCCATTAGTAACGGTTCATTCTCACAATTAAATCAAAAACTCCTTATGTACCGTCTGTAACCATAATGTCTTTACCTGATTTAGAAACAGTAATGCATTACAGACAAATGCCATTACAGAATGCATTATTTTTAAATTGTTACACTTAACACTGCTTACTTATGCATTTAAAATAATTACATACATAATATTACTAAAACTGCAGCATCAGTTACATGTGACTCTGCACATAACTAGCCAAACACTGCCATTCCTCCACTCTCAGAAAATCTGTTCACTGAGATGACTAAGTAAAATTTTTGAAATCACTGAGAACATTGTAGCTTACTGAAATATTTACTGAGTTTCACATTGTACTCACTCACATAACTCAAGACAGTTATTACTACTGTGACACAGCCCAGTTGGTACATATTTAAGTATACAGTGTATGCAATAATACAATTACACTATTAACTTCAGAAGTCTAAAAGAAAGCTTAAGTTTCTTCTTGATTCTTGTTAACATGGAATCAACAGTTGCTGACTTCTTACAGCACTATAAAATGTAGCTTCATAAAATATTAGCACACTCGTTTTTTATTTTTAAGCTATTTTCTTGCACTGAAACAAATTATAATACATAATAGAGATGGCACGATACCACTTTTTAATGTCCGATACCGAT